GGATTTTCATCACTCCAGTATCTGCAATTGTGACGATTAATAGAACCGTTTATTTGAAACATAGCTTCATCTGAAAAAACAATAAAATTCAAAAAGTTATCATCAATTCGATTCATCATTTCTTCACAAAATTGAATTCTTCTATCAAAATCATCTTCCATAAGTTCTTGAGTGATAACAATTTTGTAAGGATAATATTTATGCTCTTTTAAAATGTTAAGAATGCTACCTTGACTGATATCATGGGCTTGCGCTGTTCTTGGCACAGATGTATGAGGATTTTCTTCAAATGACAGCAAAACATCCAAACTCATATCATCACTTGTTGCGGATTTTGGTCTTCCGCTACGAGGTCGGTCTTGAACTGTTCCAGTTTCCGAAAAACGTGTCACTGTGTACTGAACAGTAGACTTAGAAATAGGGTTGCGATCAGGATGTATAACATTGAAGAGATCAGCTACTTCCTGATATGATCTAACACGGTCTCCAAACCTCAATACATAAGCAGCAAAATCCTTTCTTTTTCGATCAATATTTTTTCAGATAGAAATTTGAAACTGTAGAACGAAAAAAAGAACAAAACAGATAAAGATCAAGACGCAAGCGAATACGATTAGTTTGTAGAATACACGGAGCAAGAACCGTTTTCGAAAATCACCAGTATGCACGAGTTTTAGCTGTAAGTCTTCGTGTCCGATGTTCATTAATGATCGCCTTTGATGTTAGTAGATTAATTTGCCAAAGTAAACTCCTTGCAAACTAAACACTTAATAAGCTTTGTAGTTTACTCCTGGTTCGTTAAAGTAGATTTTCTTAAGAGTTCCCTTACGAAAATAAAGTACTAAGAATTACTGAAAAATTTACAGTGATTAATCACTGGCCAAATTATTACTGAAATACTGCTATCCCTATGAACGTTTAGCTCATTGTCAAATGGTAGAAGGAAGACAATTTGAACATTTCATTAATTGAAAAATGTTGCACATCTTAAAAGATGAGATAAAGTCACTTTACACAACAGAAAGGGTTTGGAGTCATGAAATACTACAGGAGTGACGAACCATGGGGTCCTTGTTTCTGTTACATAACATGCAGACGCACACACAACATACACGCACGCACACACACGCGTGCGCGCCGGCACATACACACACACACACAAGAGGTGTAAATCCGATCGTATAACCTCCACGCGGTACACCTTGGGTAATGCTAATAGCGACGGTACTGCCGACGGAACTTTGAAGCTTCATAACTCGGGATATACTTAACAAAAAAATACTTTGTTGTAGTGTTTTGGAAAGCTCTTGAAATACGTTATAAGAATATGCCAAAACAGGTAGGGCATTCTATTTGAAAAGTTAAAGGTGACTTTGCCCTGACCTTGTTGGCGCTAGCCAAGGTCAAACTAATATGATCAGTAAATAGATCATTTTAAACCTTACAACTTTTGCCTGAAACATTTTTCCCAAAAACTGATTTTTTTCGAGATATTTTATCGTTCGTAGACTTTTTGAGAACCCTGTATGTATCATTTAAATGAAACATTCAAATCAAACTTTAAATAATTATCTGTATTTTATAAATAATTGGACAAGTTTCAGATGACAAATATTAACTGATGTGTATTTAACAAGGAGAGTGTCACAACTATCCCTCACCGATTTGAATGGGCTTCGAATGTTATAGAGCATCAAAAATTAAAAGATACATATTTTTTTATATCGGCTTCGGAGCATATTTAGGGGATGAAACCACCCCTTGAAAAAAATAGCCGTTATCATTTTTATCAAATATTTTCTAAATTATGAGTCATATGAAAAAAAGTTTCAGACAAAAGTTTTGCAATATTTTATGCTCTTTGCAACCATGTATTCAGTTTTTTTAAATTTCAAACGTTGAACTACTTTTTTTTCTTTTTGATAACACAGATCCATCATGGATACCCCCGACCCTTTGGGGGGGGGGTCGGGGGTTATGTCAGATTCTTACTGACTAAAACCCCTGCGGGATGTCTACCATTCGGACCGTGGTGGGGGGAGTCAGGGGAACTACTCCCATATTCCCTTTTTTTTTGTTCACGCAGGGGAAATCCATCATAGATACCCCAGCCCCCTTGGGGAGAGGCGGGGGTTATGTCGGACTCTTACCGACTAAAACCCCTGCGGGATGTCTACCTGTCTGACCGTGAGGAGGGGAGTTAGGGGAACTGCTCCCGCATTCCCTCCCCGACTCCCCGGCCCCAGGGCTCTAATCTAAGAGCCCCTCGTCTTCTTGTACCGCACCCCCTTCCCCTTTCGGGGAATTAGTGGGAGAGGCAGTCCCCGGCGGGTAACCCCGCCGGTTGGCCTTCTGGTGTCACCTTGGAGGAAGGGGACATCCACCCTTCCTCCTTATCCTCCCCTTTCTGAAGGGAGAGGGGGGATTTTGGGGAGGTGGGCCCGACCCCAATCGGGTTTTCCACCTCCCCTTTTCCCTCCGGGACAGGGCGCGGTACTCGTGGCGAAGGGCTCCCGGAGAGCCCTGGGTCGGGATGTCGGGGAGGGAATACGGGAGTACGACCGCCAATATGGGTTCAGGCCCGGACGATCCACGCTGGATGCAATCCAGTGGGTCCGGGACCTGACCCGGGCTGTCGTGGAGATAAGGGGCGGAGTGTTGTTGGCGGTGTCGCTAGACATATCCAACGCCTTCAATACTCTGCCCTAGCCGGAGATAGGACGGGCCCTCGAGCACTTCGAGGTGCCCGCCTATCTCCGGCGGATAATGTCCGCCTACTTCGGGGACAGAGACCTCGCCTTTACGAAGGAAGGCGGGGTTCAAGGCTGGCGCACCATGGAGCGCGGTGTCCCGCAGGGATCGGTGCTCGGCCCCCTGCTATAGGACATCGGCTTCGACCGGGTTCTTCGCACTCCGCTCCCCGACGGCTGCTACGTCGTCTGCTATGCAGACGACACGTTAGTGGTGGCCGAAGGGGAGAACTGGGGGGAGGTCCGCTTCCGCGTGGAGGTGGCAGTGGCATCGGTGGTGGGAACCATCGGAGACCTGGGTCTCAAGGTGGCGCCAGAAAACTCAGGCTGTGTTCTTTCACGGCCGGCGTTGGGGGGTGCCGCCGGAGACCCGGGTCCTAGTCGATGGCGTCCACGTCCGCGTCGGGCCGAGGATGAAATATCTCGGCCTGACGTTGGACAGCCGATGGTCGTTTGGGCCTCATTTCAGGCAGCTGGCCCCCAGGGTGCGCAAGGTTGGACTGGCCGTGGCCAGGCTGATGCGCGCCCAAGGGGGCGCAGGATGGCAGGCTCGCCGCCTGTATGTCGGTGTGGTTCTCTCGATCGCCCTGTACGGGGCGCCTATATGGGACCCTCAGCTGCTGGCTACCGCGGTGGCCAAGCGGCTAATGAGGCAGGCCCTTAGGCCCCTCATGATCAGGGCGATTCGGGGGTTCTGCACTGTGTCATACATGGCGGCGACCACCCTGGCCGGCTCCCCCCCTGTGGAGCTCCTAGGAGCCGAGGAGAGGAGAATCCTCTACTAGCGGGTAAAGGAGCTCCGCGAGGGGGGAGAGCTGACCGCCAGGGGCCTGAAGGCCCTAACTACCCAGGCCAAAGGCCGGACCCTGGAGCGGTGGAAAGGCTTGCTAGCTGACTCCCGAGGGTCCGGTCTTGCAACGGCCGAGGCTGTCAGAAATGACAGACAGGAGGGGGCGTGGAATGTCCTTCCACCTGGTGCAGGTATTGACCGGGCATGGATGCTTCGGGAGATACCTGCACCGGATAAGGAAGGAGCCCACCGTTCGGTGCCACCACTGCCCCGAGCAAGAGGACACGGCGCGGCATACCCTGGCTGCCTGCATGGGATGAGCAGCGCCGGGTCCTGCTCGGGGCGGTGGATTGCCGAAACGGGGAGCTCTCGCTACCGCACCTAGTGCGAGCTATGTGCGTGAGAGAGAGAGCGTGGGACATAGCAGCCTCCTTCTGCAAGAAGGTAACCTCCCAGAAGGAGGCCGCCGAATGGAGGCGCCAGCCTGGCAAACGCCGTCGCAGAGAATGGCGGGGCGCTCTCCTGAGGGGAGGGGAATCTACAGCGGGCCCGAGGTGGCATCGGATGAGGAGAGGGCGCTGGCCTACACGGGCTGGCGCCTCTCTCGGCCACCTCGGGCCTGGCTCCATCACTCGGGGGAGCGGGAGGTATCCTCCTCGCCCCCCTCCGGGGGACTCAAGGAGTCCAGGGCGCAGTCCCCCGACCGGTTTCCCGGCCGGGTTGGACTTCTGGTTTTTACTTGGAGGGAGGGGACATCCACCTTCCTTCCACGCCCTTATCACCCCTCCAAAACAGGGGGCAGGGGAGTGGAAGTCGGACTAACCCCGACTTCCCCCGCGTGGACGGAGACGAGCCCGAGGCGGCCGAGGGAACCCACGATCAACCGAAGGCCTCTCCTCGGCCGGCGCCACCTCGGTTTTACTACCCATATACGGGAAGCGCCGCCTTTCCCGCCGCTCCCTGCGACGGGTTCCCGGGCGGCGCTCCCACTCGGCGGCCTCCTTCTCAGACATCATGTCCTTGCAGAAGGAGGCTGCTGCCCCCCAAATCTCCTCGCTCCCGCACATGGCCTTGATCATGCGCGGGAGCAAGAGCTCCTTCTCCTGGCACCCTCCGCCCGGGCGAGGACACGGCGTTGTGGAGCCCACGCCTGACATTTCGTCAGGGTGTGCCCCGCCGTGTCCTCCAATCCCGGGTAGTGGTGGCATCGGTTAGTGGGCTCCTTCCTGATCTGGTGCAGGTACCGACCGAAGCAATTGTGCCCGGTCAGCACCTGCACCAGATGGAAGGTGAGTCCGCATCCCACCCTGCCTACCACGTCAGGCAGGCAAGGGCGGACAGCCTCGGCCGTTTGGAGCCCGGACACCCGGGGATCTGACAGCATGTCCGACCACTTCTCCAGGAACCGGGCCCTGGCTTGGGACCTTAGGGCCCTCAGACCCCTGACCGTTAGCCCCCCCCTACTCGCGGAGCTCCCGCACCCTCCAATAGAGAATGCATCGCTCTTCGGCGAGGAACTCCACGGGAAGAGAGCCCGCCAGGGTGGTCGCCGCTATATAAGACACGGTGCGATATCCCCGAATGGCCCGCACGACCACCGGCCGCATCGCCTGACTCATTAGGCGTTTGCTGCGGCCGGTGGCCATGAGTTGGGGCGCCTAAATTGGCGCCCCGTAAAGGGCCATCGAGAGCACCACACTGGCATAAAGGCGGCGAGCCCTCCAGCCTGGGCCCCCTTGGGCGCGCATCAAACTGGCCAGTTTTAGGCCTGCCTTGCGCATTCTGGGGGCCAGCTGCTTAAAATGAGCCCCGAAGTCCCATCGGCTGCTCAACGTTAGGGGCAGATATTTCATCGTGGGCCCGACGTGAATGCGGACTCCGTCCACTAGGACTCGGGTTCTCGACGGCGCTCCGCAACTGCCATTGTGAAAGAACACGGCCTCAGTCTTCTGAGGCGCCACCTTGAGACCCAGGTCCTTGATAGTGTCCACCACCGATACTAGTGCCGCCTCCACCCAGAAGCGGGCTTCCTCCCAGGCCAGTACCAATGTGTCGTCTACATAGCAGACTACATGGCAGCCAAGGGCGAGAGGAGTGCACAGCAGCCGGTCGAATGCGATGTTCCATAATAAGGGACCGAGCACCGACCCCTGCGGAACACCGCGCTCCATAGCGCGCCGGCCCTGGACTCCGCCCTCCTTCGGGAAGGCGAGGCCCCCGAAGTAGGCCGATAGGATACGCCGGAGATAGGCGGGCACCCCGTGGTGTTCGAAAGCCCGTCCTATCTCCGGCCAGGGCAGGGTGTTGAATGCATTTGTGATGTCGAGTGACACCGCAAGCAACACCCCGCCCTCCTCCTCCACGATCGTCCGGGCCAGGTCCTGGACGCACTGGATCGCATCCAGCGTCAAGCGTCTGGGTCTAAACCCGTATTGTCGGTCGTCAAGGTCCGGCTCCTCCGTGGATAGGTGCCGGACGAGGCGGTCAGCGATGATGCGCTCGAGCATCTTTCCCGCCTCGTCCAGCAGGCATATCGGCCTGTAGGCCGACGCGCTCCCAGGCGCCTTGCCCTCCTCCACTCTGGGGGGAATGCCCCCTCCTTGATGCACCTGTTGATAAGAACCCGCATGGCATCGGACAGGTTTCCCTAGCCGAGGCCGAGAGCCCAGGCGCGGTCAGGAATACCGTCGGGGCCCGGGGCTTTCCCCTTGACTCCGAGCCTCTTCCTGGCCCCGGCGAGCTCCTTTGGATCGACCTGGAGGTCGATCCAGAGGAGCTGCAGGAGGTCCAGGCTCTCGTCCCCGTCCCCGTCCCGTAACTCGGGAGCGGAGACTTGGTGGGCCCCCTTCTACCCTCGGAAAGAGGGTGTCCAAGAGCCCCTTGAGAGCCTGGCGGTCCGGAGTAAGCGGGGGTGCCCATGGACAGAGCTTAACTACCATCCGCTTGTAAGGGCGCCCCCACGGATCCTCATCCAGGGAGCTCACCAGTTACTACCAGGCTCTTCGCTTTGCCTCGGCAATGGCGGCCTTGAGGGCTTCCCTCGCATTGAGGTAACCCTCCCTCGCACTTGTGGCATCCCCGTCTCGTCGCCGGGCCCGGGTATATACCCTCTTAGCATGGACGGAGGCTCTTCGCAATTCCGCGATGTCCTCCGTCTACCAATAAACGGCCTGGCGCCGACGAGGGTGGGACCGGGTCATCGCGACATCGCACGCCGACGCCACGATGCCCACTATCTCCCTAGCCCCCTCCTGGCGGCTAGGGTCCCACTCACCTTGTCCCTCTTCAAGGTGCAAGGTGGCCGCAAGGACGGCCGCCCGAAACCTGTCTACCGACCGAGGGCCCATCTCTTGGGGAGGGGAAAGTCCCGCTGCTCTGGGCGGCGGTCTAGCACCCGCTCGAGGGAGGGGAGACAGAGGGCCCACACTATGTATCGGTGATCCGACAGTGTTTCGCCCTCTGCCTCCACCTCCCATTCCCGGAACATCCGGGCGGCCGAGGGGGAAGCCCAGGTCAGGTCAATGACCGACTACCCCCTGGCCGCACGCTGATGCAGGTGGACTCCCTGTTAATAAACAGGAGGTCCAACCCCGCCGCCCAGTCAACCAGTGCCATACCCCGGGGATTCCCCTGCTGAGGACTGCAACCCCACCCTTCGGAGTAGGCGTTGAAGTCCCCGGCAATGACCACAGGTCGTGGCACAGGGGGTGGCACCACCGTACCACGTCCCCGACCCTATCAAGGATCCCCTTTATACGGGCAGAGTCACTGAAGCCGACCTTATTTTTGCGGTGGGGGAGATACACCCCCACCACAGTAACGGGCTCCCAGTCGACGGCCACGTACGAGGCCCCCGTTTCCCTTAGTGTACAGAGAGGGGACCCCGTTACGAGTTCTGCCACCATGGCCACCAAGCCGTCCGGGCTGCCGAACCAACACGGATGGTTGGGTGGCACCCAATGCGGCTCGGTGGCCATCCCCAGCCCGGCATCCAGTTCCAGAATCCTATGCGTCCATAGGTCCTGGGCCCGGTTGCCGCGGTCGAGGTTGGCCTGTAGGGCCCGGAGTAGCGTGAAGGCAATGCCCTCTATGCCTCCTCCGGCCGGCCTACTTCCACCTCCTCCGGTGAGACCTCTGACGGCGACGCCGCCTCCCCCGAGGGGGCGTCTGCCATAGTGGTCTCATCCACAGGTGCCTCCACTGAGGCATGGGAGGTCCCTACCTCTGCGACTCCCTCCTCTGGGGGTGTGAGGGGGAGTCGCTTGTTGGGGGAGCCGGGGGTGGCGCGCCCACCGGCTCCCCCTCGATTGCGGCAGTTGGGGGGTCCGGTGATTCCATCCTCCTCACCTTCTTTCCCGACCTTTTCTCAGGGGAGTCCTCTTCCTGGTCCCTCGTGGCAGTAGGGGTTGTTGAACTACTCCCCCCCTCTCGTTACTCTGGAAAAATTTTTAAGCTTTGCAAGGACAAAACTTGTAGAGCATTAAATACCAAATCCATCCATATATAATATTAGAAAATGGTATTTACTAGGTGCGTAACTAAGTTTCCGGGTTTTTTTGATCAATGAAGAATGGAAAATTTCAAGAGAAATACAAAGAATGATTTACTCAAAGTATCGTCCCTCGTTAGCTACACATTTTTGCCATCTCTCTGGCAATGCATGAATACCGCGACGATAAAACGACGCGTCTTTGGACCGAAATCATTCATCCAACCAATTCTGCGCTTCTTCGAAATTGGCCAAGTGTTGCTCAGCCAAGCCATACGCCATCAACCGGAACAAGTGATAATCGGAAGGGGCTAGGTCTGGCGAATACGGTAGGTGCGGTAGCAGACCCCATTTCAGCGTTTGATGGTGTCCTGGACGATGGAAGTGCGATGGCACGGAGCGTTGTCGTGCTGCAATATCACTCGTTCGTGTCTCGTGTCCCATTCTGGCCGTTTCTTGAGCAATGCATGGTTCAAATTGAGTAGTTGTTGTCGGTAGCGATGCCCATTGACAGTTTCGCCCGGTTTCAGCAGCTCATAGTACATGATTCCTTTCTGGTCCTACCAAACGCAGAGCATTGTCTTCTTTCCGAAGCGATTTGGCTGTGCCATCGATGTTGATGCTTCGCTAGGTGAAAGCCACGATCTTTTGCGTTTGGGAATCTCGAAATATATCCACTTCTCATCGCCAGTAACAATTGGATGCAGAAAATTTTCTTTCATGCCGCAAAAGCAAAATTTCGGAAGTGGCTCTTCGATTTTCCATCTGTCTCTCAGTCAACTCATGTGGCATCCATTTTCCTTCCTTTTGAATTTTTCCCATGGCATGTAAACGTTTGGAAATACCTTGGCGAGTCATGTTTAATGCCTCCGAAAGTTGATTTTGTGTTTGCATATCATCTTCATCGAATAACGCTTGCAGATCGGCGTCCTCAATTGTTTTTGGTCTTCCGGAGCGCTCCTTGTCCTCAGTGTCGAAATCGCCACTTCTGAAGCGTTTAAACAATCTTCATAGGTAGTTTTCGGTGGTGCATGTTCGTCATAGGCCTTCTCAAATAAACGACGTGCTTTAGCTGCACTTTTTTTCAAGTTAAAGCAGAAAAGCAAAGCTTCCCGCAAATGCTGTTTATTTGGCACAAAACTCGACATCTTCGTTGTTAGAAAAAATATTTTTGCGTTGCGATATGTGTTGGTATTACGACTGGTTATTGTTAATAGATGTTCAAGCTATAAAAAACACAACTTCAGACATGTATGTCGAAATGTCGACTACATGTGTCGTTAGCACCATCCATGTGTGAAACCCGGAAATTTAGTTGTGCACCTAGTAATATTTTGGACAAAACGCAATGAGAAAACTAGATGGTATATGTGCCGCTCTGCCCGAATAGATAGATACTGTACTGAGTAGGTAGATACGCTATGATATTTTTCTACAATTGCACTATGCTTCACGACTGCTTGTGCTTGTGCATATTTTCTTATGCTACAATTAATCGTAATGATATGATATACAATATTACACGAAATAAAAATGCTTGATGAAAACGTGAATAATAGAATAATTTGCATAGATAACAGTAGCAAATATGTGTGTAGCATCGCTATTTGTACAAAAGCTCCAAATGTATATTTTCTTCATTTAATGTGTAAAATTTATATTCACTACAATCTGAAAGGTATGTCGACTAAGGATAATTAAAATGATTAAAAAAGTATTTCATACAATGCACGTGAAATAATGAAACACATTATCATCAGCCTAATTAGAAAACCTCCTGACTTCAATTTTTGACAAAATTAAGATACTCATTTTATTCGATTTATCTCGTCGATTTGAGCGAATAAAATGAGTCTCAATTTTGTCAAAAATTGGAATTAAGAGGTTTTCTAATTAGGCCGACGTTATCTCTGCAAGCGTGTAGTGTGACAATACAATATATTTTATTAATTGCTGAATGAAACATAACGAAGGGCTTAACAAAAATGATGGAGTAATAATTTATAGGGTAGGGAGGAACAATACAATAAATTATAGAAGAATAACACATTATTATATTTCACAATAGTAATAAACAAATCAATACAGTATTTGCATATAAACGAAAAATAAATGTTACATTTATGGCACATATTCGTTGCAAAGGTGGTGATCATGGAAAGAATGTGTAATACAAAGTGATTTTTTGCACCAAGAGCAAATAATTATGGCAGTTTCGTCACAAATATCGCAGTTTATTTTAGAATCATTTTGGAAACAAAACTCAACCGGTGTTTCGAATTCGCCTAGCCTACTCTGTAAATATCCACTTTTAAACCACGCATATTTAAATAAATTGTGAGACCTGGGTGACGAGAATTGATGGTGCGTTAATGACTGCAGTTTTTAAATATTGCTTTTAACATGAAGATCAATTGCAAGGTCTAATAGCATTACAATATCAGAAAAATGTTTAATAAAATTTTTCTAGAATCGAAAGCCATATACATCTAATGGTTGTATTTTTCCCGTTGTACCGGCCGGAATGGTTAGGAAAACAATATCTGATGCAAAATCCGATCTAGTTTCCTGAATTACATTGGGACAATGTCCACTCCATGAATCTAATAATAATACGGATTGTGGCTCGACATTCGGAAAAAATATTTCTCTCAACTAGATTTTCATATAATCTGATGTCATTTTACCTGATTTGGAAGCCATTATAAAAATATTAGGAGCATTGAATAAATTTTCCTGTACTCGTGGATCGAATGTTCCTGTTGGTTCTTTTAATACAATTAACAGAGGCGACAATAATCTACCTACAGCGGAAATAGTTGGCTGTATGGTATAACTATGCGTGGTTGCTGATACAGATTGCACTACGGATTCTATTTTCTTTATACCTTTTTGTGCTAAGGTACGACCGGTGTGAAGTTTTAATTGGAACCCACTCTGATCTGAATTGTAAATATTTTCCACACCGTATCGATCAATATAATATTTGACATTTGTAATAAATGTATCGCATTTATTTTCTAACTCTGATTTGGATAACAAGGATTTTTTCGTGACAAATTTGGTTATTTTCCTAAACACAATATTATGTTTCTTTTTTAATCTTTGTACCCACGTACGTGATGCTATGAATCCAGGTACATTTTCTCTTCTTGTGCTCCATTAGCCCATCGAGCAACGTTAATATCATGAATAATGACTACTTTTTCAAGTACTTCAGCGAAACGGTTTAATGTATATTCAGAAATTGCTTTTAATCTTTCATTTCTGCTACCACCTGCATTGATATAGTCCTCCCATTGTCGTAATTGTCGAATTAATGTAACTTTTTTGTGCTTTCGTCTAACTCCTTCAATCGTTCTTGGTCTTATTTTACCGCTCTTCCAGAAATCCACAGCTCTCCTTTTATAGTCACTTGATATTTCTGCTTCAACAGAAGTACAAATAACTTCTTCTGGAATCCTCATCTTCATCATGCTTCAACAAATCAACTCTTTCCGCCTGTGGGATTTCATTTGTATCATAGAAATCAAGTGTTTTCTCCTCTTCTATTAGAATGTCCATTTTATTTTCCATGTCTGTGAGCATATTTACAATCTTCTCCTTCACTTCCATTTCTTCCGAAGTTACCGGAGTTTGTAGGAGGTTACGAGCAGTGAATGTTGCGTATACCAACAGTATAACATTCCATGGGTTAAATGGAATCATTCTACAGAATATTAAAATTTAACTATTGTTTAATGCTGCTCCGGTCTTCCGTATATTATAATATTAATAACCCCACAGAGTGTATAATAATTTAAATAATATAAATATGAAGAGTGACAAGCGTAAGACAATAATACAATACAATAAATACTTACATAATTTCACAAAATTATAGTGTATAACACACTTCTTTACACTATGAATTCATAAAATGAACTGCCTGTTTTCAAATGTTACAGACATTTTTATAGTCTGCATAGTGCGCAATACGATCAGATGAGCCAATTATAGTGCGCATGACGATCACATGAGTCTGTTTCATGCGAAACGAAAACAAAATTTATTTACAGAAGCAAAGTATAAATAAATTGTTTTTGATGCACTGCGACACAGTTGACTTTGCTTTGTATACACGACATTATAAATGCTCAGAAATAAATATACAACTTATAATTATATATCAGGTGTAGTAAAAAGAAATCCATTATTTTTCCAATAGATGGCTTTAGTTATCTGTATCTCATGTTGTATAAGTCCGATCGGGGTCCACTAGATGGCGTTAGAAAAATGAGATTTCGTACTAAAAAAACTTTTCTGACAGTTTTGTGATTAGTTGACTCAGTTTTGTTTGAGCGCGCGTCAAAGATGGACACTAGCAAAGAGAAAATATGCTATATTTTACAGTTTTTCTTCGATAAAGGATAAAGGATAAAGGTTTTCTTCGAAAACGCAAGCCAGGCGGCTGAAAATGTAAATAGTGTTTATGGTCCTGATACTGTAACAGCCAATCACGCGCAATTTTGGTTTCGTCGATTCCGTTCCGGTAATTTCGATGTCAAAGATGCACCACGCACTGGAAGGTCAATTGTCGAAAATATCGATAAAATCATGGACATTGTCGAGTCCGACCGTCATGTAAGCACTGTTTCGATTGCCCAAGAGCTAAAGATTGCACAAAAAACCGTTTGGAACCATTTGAATAAGGCTGGATACAAAATGAAGCTCGATGTATGGGTGCCACACGAGTTAACGAAAAAAAACCTCATGGACCGAATTTCCATCTGCGAATCGCTGCTGAATCGCAACAAAATCGACCCATTTCTGAAGCGGTTGGTCACTGGTGATGAAAAGTGGATCACTTACGACAACGTCAAGCGAAAACGGTCGTGGTCGAATCGCGGTGAGCCGGCGGAAGCTTGGCGGTGGCCAAGCCAGGATTGACGGTCAGGAAGGTTTTGCTGTGTGTTTGGTGGGATTGGCAGGGAATTATCTACTATGAGCTGCTCCCCTACGGCAAAATTCTTAACTCGGAATTCTACTGTCAACAATTAGACCGTATGAAGGAAGCAATCGCCCAGAAGCGGCCAGTTTTGGCCAATAGGAGAGGAATTGTGTTCCATCAGGACAACGCCAGGCCACAAACATCGATAGTGACTCGCCAGAAGCTCCGGGAGCTTGGTTGGGAGGTTCTTATGCATCCACCTTATAGTCCGGACCTGGCACCAAGTGATTACCATCTGTTACTGTCCATGGCGAACAATTTTGCTGGTGAAAAATTCGCTTCAAGAGAGGCTTATGAAAATCGACTGTCTCAATTTTTTGCCAATAGGGACGAGGGCTTCTATGAGAGAAGTATAATGAAATTATCTTCAAAATGGCAACAAGTTATCGAACAAAACGGCGCATGTTTGATCTAAATCGGATCATTCTAACTATGGTAATTAAAGCCTTCAATTTCATGCAAAAATAATGGATTTCTTTTTACTACACCTGATATAATTTATAATTATATATAATTATATATAAAATATGTTCGCATATTATTATACATAAAGATATAGAATTATATACAAATTGTCATATATAATTACACATATTTATATAAAAGATGATATAATATATGAGATATATATGAGATTATATTGGGTGAGTGCAAAAGTTCGTGCGGAGTTTGTGAGTAAAAGTCACACAGTGATTAGGCAAACAAAAATCTTTATTCAATCAATGATATATTCTCCATCGTTTTCTATAATCTTTTCCCAACGTTCTGGCAGCATACGGATGCCTCGATCATAAAAACTGCGCGGTTTAGATTCGAAGAACGAAGAGACGCCGTTTTTTAAGGCCTCCAAAGAGTCAAAGTTTTTTCCATTTAAATAATTTTGCAATGACCGGAACAAGTGATAGTCAGATGGTGCGATATCAGGAGAATACGGTGAATGCGTTAAGACATCCCATTTCAGGCTCTTCAGTTTGCGCAGCGTCTTTTTCGAAACGTGTGGTCTGGCGTTGTCGTGATGAAAGACGAACTCCCTTGCGATTTGACAAAATCGGACGTTTCTCTTTTATTTCCGATTCAGATTGGTTAATTGGCGACAGTACTTGTCCGAATCAATCGTTTCGCCAGCGGGGAGAAGCTCGAAATAGATTATGCACTTGCAATCCCACCAAACAGAAAGCATCATCTTCATCGGGTGCAAACTGGCCTTTGGCATTGCGTCACCATGCTCACCTGATTGTTTCCATGTCCGTTTGCGCTGAACATTGTTGTAGAGGACCCATTTCTCATCGCCCGTCACTAGTCGATCCAAAAACGACTCGTTATTGAGCCGCCCGAGTAAAGAAACGGCTGCAGAAATTCGCTTGATTTTGTTCTTCTCGGTCAGCAAATGGGGCACCCATATATCGAGCTTCAAATCGAATCCCATCTTTTTTAAACGCCGAAAAGCGGTTGATCGGTCAACGTTTAGTGCTGTAGCAACTTCTTCTGTTGAAATTCGCGGATTATTGAGCACTAAAGTACGCAAAACATCGTCATCAATGTCAGAAGGTCGACCAGAGCGTGGCTCGTCTTCAAGGTTAAATTCTCCGCGCCGAAATTTAGCAAACCATTTTTCCATACTTCGTTTAGCTGGTGCTTCATCTTGATAAACATCCTGAATATTTTTTACGGCTGCGGCAACGTTTATTCCCTTCCGAAACTCGTAAAGCATAACATGCCGTAAATGCACCTTATCGATACTCATTTTTAAAGTGATATTTCTCGAAGCAGTTTGTATGAAAACAAATGATTTTTTTTTTAATAACAGCTGAAGACGTCACCTTTCCAACGTTATATAATATGTAGATGGAAGTATTAATGACAACTTTACGACGCTTATAACTCCATCTATTGAAACTCCGCACGAACTTTTGCACTCACCCAATATATGTAAGATGATATATATGAGATTATATATATAACCATATACAGGGTTTTTCAATTGGTGCGGGTCGATGTTGGCAGCCTGTGGCGGCCATGTTGTTTTGGCGGTGTCTGTCTAACCTGTTGTTTATTATTCAGTCACTGATGCCAAATCACCATGACAAGTTACACGATTGAGCAGCACGTCCAAATGATAAAACTTTATTATCAAAATGAGTGTTCGTTAGTGCAAACGTTGCGCGCGTTGCGCCCATTTTACGGCAGACGCGGTGGCCCTTCAATGTCGACTCTCCAACGTTTGGTGGCCAAATTCGAGACGACCGGTTCGGTAAAGGATCAGCCAACACTCATACGTCGAAGGAACGCCAGATCGGCCGAGAACATCCCCGCTGTAAGTGAAAGTGTGCAGGAGAACCCGAGGCAGTCAATTCCTCGCCGTGCCCAAGAACTCGGCCTTTCGCAGACTTCAACTTGGCGAATTTTGCGTCGGGACTTGGGCCTGAACCCGTATAAGATCCAACTGGCCCAGGAGCTCAAAGTTAATGATCATAGACAACGCCGTTTGTTCGCTGACTGGGCTTCGGAGCATTTGGAAGAGGACCCCAATTTTGGCCGAAAAATCATCTTTAGCGACGAGGCGCATTTTTGGATGAATGGCTATGTTAACAAGTAATTGCCGTATATGGCACGACGCCAACCCACACGAGGTTCAACAGGTAGCAATGCATCCACGAAAAGTTACTGTTTGGTACGGATTTTGGGCCGGCGGCGTCATTGGTCCGTACTTTTTAGAAAACGACGTTGGTGAGGCCATCACCGTCAATGGCGAGCGCTACAGAACGATGATAACCAATTTCTTTTAGCCCAAATTGAACGATATGGACGTGGACGACATGTGGTTCCATCAGGACGACGCCACGTGCCACACAGCAGACGCCACGATGGACATTCTGCATGAACGATTTGAGGGTATGGTTATCTCTCGTAGAGGTGACGTGAATTGGCCACCAAGATCGTGTGATTTGACCCCGCTAGACTTTTTCTTGTGGGGTTTTCTGAAGTCGCAGATCTATGTCAATAAGCCGCAATCGACCGATGTCCTTAAAGTCAACATAACCCAGGCCATCGCTGAAATTCAGCCGGATCTATGCGGCGGAATCATTGAAAATTGGACCATTCGGATCCGTCCCACCGTGAGAAGCCGCGGCGGACATTTGAGCGATGTTATATTCCACACATAATGGCATACATACGAGGGCGGTCCGATAAGTACTTAGCCTCACCGCCCGATGGCGCCACTATCGCAAAAGAAATTTACTATCGTGTAGTACTCTCGTAGACGGCTACTGTCGAAATTTCAGCCGAATCGGACTCGTAGTTTTGTTTTGACCGCGTGTCGAAGCGGGCGTGTCCGCGGATTTTAAAAAAATGGAAAAAGAGCAATATCGGTCGGTGATTCGATTCTTGTTTTTGGGAGGGAAATCGCGCAGTGAAATCAAAGAACGCTTGGATGTTGTGTACGGTGACTCTTCTCCTTCGATGGCGACCGTCAAAAATTTGATTTAACGAGTTTCAACGTGGTCGCACGTCGGTTTTTGATGAGCCACGCCCAGGTGCCCCGAAAACGGCTACCACGGAGGATAACATGACAAAAATCCATGATCTCGTATTGGCAGACCGCTGATTGAAGTTGCGCGAGATAGCTGAGACAGTAGGCATCTCAAAAGACCGCGTGGGTCATATCCTGCATGAAATTTTGGGCATGAGAAAACTGTCGGCGCGATGGGTGCCGCGTTTGCTCACTCTGAACAACAAATGCAACCGTGAGACCACTTCAGAGCAGTGTTTGACGCTGTTTAAGCGCAATCCGAAGGAGTTTCTGCGTCGTTTCGTGACCGTCGACGAAACATAGATCCACTGGTATACGCCAGAGACCAAGGAACAGTCGAAACAGTGGACTTCATCCGGTGAACGTGCTCCGAAGAAAGCGAAGACTGTCCTATCGGCCGGAAAGATGATGGCCACCGTTTTCTGGGATTCACAAGGTGTGATCTACATCGACTACCTGGAGAAGGGCAAAACGGTCACAGGGCTGTACTATGCCGAATTATTGGGCCGATTCGACGCCGAATTGCAGAAAAAACGGCCCCATTTGGTGAAGAAAAAAGTGCTCTTCCACCATGACAACGCACCGGCTCACACCTCCACCCTCGCCACGGTCAAATTGGTCGAATTGGGCTACGAACTTCTGCCGCATCCACCGTATTTTCCAGATTTGGCCCCGTGCGACTTCTTTTTGTTTCCAAACTTGAAAAAGTCACTCGCCGGGCAGAAATTTGAGTCGAATGAGGAGGTCGCCACGGAGGCCTACTTTGCTGACCTCGAGAAAACGTATTTTTCAGACGGGTTAAAGAAGTTGGAGCATCGCTGGGTCAAGTGTATCGAGCTAAAAGGAGACTATGTTGAGAAATAAATCGCCACTTTTCCAAAATTTTCGTTTTTCTTTTGTAGGCTAAGTACTTATCGGACCACCCTCGTAGGCCTTTCAAATAAAAAAAGAATTTCGTTAATATCTCACACACAGCTTGTTTTATTCCATTGCAACATCGACCCGCCCTTATTGAAAAACCCTTTAGATGCCGCTCCGCAAACTTTTCACGCAACCTGTATTATAGCTACTGTAGGGCATCCCCTCCTCTTACTCTTCGGAGTTGTAATGCATGCGCAGATACATTCTTCAAACCCAGAAAGTAAACAAGATGTGGCTATCTTTATTTTAGCCCCCCCACCCCATTTGACTTAAGCATGTCCAAACCTGTTTTCTAATGGAAAGAATATAAAGTAAAGAATTCTAGAGGGCAGAGCTATCCTCCGCAGTTAATGAAGACATGGAAGACTTCGCTCAAACCGAACGAGAACTGTTGGTGCAATCCACTCGTTTGAATTCGCGATGGGCATACGACGCGTTGGTGCAAAAGTGTGACAAGTATATCAGATGTTTGGAGGAACAAAGTTGAGCGAAACGACCGCGATTATTGATTGGCGCCGCGCAATCAGTGGTGGCTCGTATTGCACAACTCGAGGGACTGAAAATTTCTGTGCAACAACGCTTCATACATGTGAGTGCTGAACACGCATCAAGAGATGCAGAATTGGTATGGAAAGAAATTGATACGGCGTTCGAAAGCCGCATATCAACCGGCGCAGTTATTAACGTTGTAACGGCCGAACTCCGCGGTTCGGTCGCTGCTACGCGTTTCGCGCAGATAAGGCTCGTCGGAGTCCGGGTTCGGTGAGGAGGAAAGCAGCGAGACGTTCGAGAGTAATATAAGTACGTTAGCTTTATTCTATACTTAATTTGATACAAGAGTTCGGCCCCGAAGGCGATGTCGCGGGTTGCGTTTGTAAGGCGCGTCGGTACGGTACGGTGCGGTGCGGTGAGCGGTGCGAGCGCTCGTACAGACGGATAGGCCGTGCGGAAGGCGGGGCCTATTACGCGACGCGTGTAGGTCGTAACGACGGTAACGGCGCGGTGATCGGTCTCGCTTCGCGACGCTGGGCGTCTCGGACAATTATCGTCCAATACTCGCTTCGGAATTGCTCGCGTAAAAATGGTCGCCGGACCGGAGATTTCGATTCTCGGTCGAACGCACGCACGCGAGTCGCGGGAGACGCGAGATGATTTCGTCCGTCGGGGCCGAGGACTCTCGACAGAGAAGGCGTACGCACCTTCCCTTTTCCCTACGTGCGTGGAGGAAAGCGACCAAGTGCTGCGGACACTCAGCGGAGACGGCGAACACACCGTCCCGGGTTCCTGGTCGCTAGACGGATCGCCTAAAGGCTGAGTACGCTCAGCGGAGTTCGCCGACGGACGAACCCCTGACTCGAGGCGGCGGGTAAAGGCGAGAGACTGTCGAGTACGCTCGACTGAGCACGCTACACACGGGCCCAGGAAGACGGGAGACGGCCAAGTATCGAGAACGCTCGATCGAGACTGCGGACGCACAATCCCGTGTTCTTAGTCGCCGGTCGGGTAGTCGGAAAGCGGAAGGCAGAGCGAAACGGTCCGGATATTCTCTCTTTCGGCATGAAGCGTCTAGATCGAATCGGCGGTACGGATCGGTCTGGTGTCTAGGAGCTCGATCGCCGCCGTTTTATAGTTGTTCGCGCTACGATTGATACGGCGGCGATCGAGCGGCGCGCCTATCGGCGCGAGGCATGATGACGGCGCGTGATCGCGGCCGCGCGCGCTAGCGGCAGCGCATGATCGCCGCGGCGCGCGATAGCGGCGCGCGTGATAACGGCGGCGCGATCGTCTTCGCTAATTTATGGTGGCGCAAAGCGCCGTTCTTCGGCCCGACAGGTGGTCGGTCGGGCCGGTAGTAACGAGGTGCATCTGCGCCTCGTTACATCACCCTCTAGCAGAGGGGTCGTCCGGTAGGCGGCGGCTGGACCGGAGCTGGCCGTCCGCGTGAAAACGCAGCATCCAGCGTCCCTCAGGTGTTCGGAGGCGGTATCGACGGCTAACATGGACGGCCGCGTGGGGGACGAGCTTGTGGACTCCGGGCTCCACTTCGACGAGGACCGGCGGCGGTGGCCTCGGGCCGACCGGTCGGAGTATTTTCGGGGGTCGGACCCGAGGGTGGTCGCGTCGTCGGGAGGAGAGGCGTCCCTGCTGCTCGTTGCGGCGGCGGCGTCCGTTGCGGCGGTGGTGGCGGCCGTTGTGGCGGTGGCGGCGGCCGTTGCGGCGGTGGTCGTTGCTGCGGCGGCGGTCGTTGCGGCGGTGGCCGTTGCTGCGGCGGCGGTCGTTGCGGCGGCGGCGGTCGTTGCGGCGGCGGAGTCGTCGGCGGCCGTGTGGGGCGGGTGGTAGCCCTTGTCGTTGCTGCTGCTGCCAGCGTCTTTGGCTGGCGTCCTCGGCGCCCGGGTGGTGGGGGCAGCGGAGCCGTAAGGATGATTGCCTTACGGCGCTGCGCCGTGTCGGACCGTTGTATCCGGGTCCCCCTTGCCGGAACTTGGGGGTTCGGTGGCCTCGGCGACGGCGGCGGGGGGCTCGCTGGTGGTAGCGGCGGTGACGTCGGCAGTGACGTCGGCGGTGACGTTGGTGGTGACGTCGGCGGTGGCGTCGCTGGTGGTGGCGACGTCGACGACGGCGGGGCGGCTGGGGCCCTCTCCTCGTCGTCGGAGAGGGCGAGATCCGTCCACAGGACGGTGAGATCCTCGATCTCAATTCCTCGGGGCTCGCTCATTGCTAGCTTATGCTTGCTTTTAAGCTGGCCAAAATTCCTCGGCTTATTGCGGGGCGACAGCTCGAGAAGATGTGTGCTTCACTGCTCGAGGCCGTCGTTTTATACCCCGGGCCGTTGTTTCGGTTTCCCCTTCCGGGTTGTCGACCTCCGCGTCCTGTGGCTTTTCGTTATTGTTGCCCGACTTCAAATCTTGTATATGTATATTTCGCAGCCACTTGCCGTTTTTAGCGCGGAGATCGACGATTACCGGGGAGATTATCTTCCGGATTTCGTACGGCCCGGAGTATTTTGGCGCGAGCTTGGCGTTAAAGCCTCGCGCTTTATCCGATAGGGGATCCTCGCGTCGCCATACTGTCTCCCCTATCGTAGGCCGCCAGGAGCGCCGTCGCAAATTATAATAGCGCTCCTGGCGTTGAAAGGCTCGCGCCAAATTTACACGGACGACCTCGTAAGCGTCCTCGAGCTGTCGGCGGCGATTTTCCGGTGGAGCGGCGGTACGGGTCTCCGGCCAGGAACTCAACTCCCGCCCGCTGAGCAGGAAGGCCGGGCTGTATCCCGTTGAGTCCTGGACGGCCGAGTTGTATGCGAACTGCAGCGCGGAGAGGTGGGTGTCCCACTTGCGGTGGTTTTTCCCCACAAACTGAGCGATCATGGTCTTTATTACACGGTTTGTCCGCTCCACCGGATTACAATGCGGTGCGTAGATGGGGGTAGTGCGGTGACGGATGCCGTGAGCCCCGCAGAATCTCGCGAATTGCCCGGAACGAAATTGCTTCCCGTTATCGGACACTATTGTTTGGGGGCAGCCGTGTCGGTGCATGATGCCCTCGGTGATCGCCTGCTCCACTGCCCCCGTTGTCGCTTTTCGGAGCGGTCGCATCTCTAGCCACTTGGAGAAGCGATCCTGCATAGCGATGACCCACGCGTGGCCGCCGATCGACCGCGGCAGAGGGCCCATCAGGTCTATGGTGGCCTGCTCCCACGGGCCCTTGACCGCGGTGGCGTGCAGAAGGCCCGCGGGTTTGACCTGTATCGCCTTATAGGCGAGGCAGGTCTCGCAGGCCCGGACATGTCGGGCTACGTCCCGGAACATTCCGGGCCAATAATACCGGCGGGCCGCGCGGGCGATCGTCTTCGCTATCCCCAAGTGGCCGGCGGTGGGTTCGTCGTGGAGCTGGCGAAGGATTTCGGCGCGTTGCTCTCGAGGCACGCATACCTTCCACTGCTCCTCCGCCGGTGTTTCGCGGAAATCCAGCTCGTGCAGGATGTGGCGGAGGAGCTGGCCTTGCTGGATGGCGTAGTCCGGCCAGGCGGCGGGATCTGCGGCTACCCGCGCCCTCATACGGCGGTACCAAGGGCAACCGTTTTCCGAGATGATGGCGCTTACCTCGGGTCGTCGAGACAACTCGTCGGCGACCGTGTTGAGAGCGCCTCGCCGGTATTGCACCTCGAACTCGTACTGTTGTAGTTCGAGGGCCCAGCGGGCCAGTCGCCCGATGGGTGTCTCCAGGCTGCGCAGCCACCGGAGGGCCTGGTGATCTGTGATCACCGTGAAGCGATAGCCCTCCAGGTAGTCGCGCATTCGCCTTATTCCCCAGATTACGGCGAGGCACTCCAACTCGGTCGCGCTGTAATTTTTCTCGGCGCGATTTAATGTTCGGCTTGCGTACGCGATCACGCGTTCGGCCCCCTCCAGCCGCTGCTTGAGGACGGCTCCCAGCCCCTCCGCGCTTGCGTCCGTCTGCAGCTGGAAGGGCTCCCGAAAATCGGGGCACGCGAGTACCGGGGCCGTGGTCAGCCGCTTCTTCAGTGCGGTCATCGCGGCGTCCTCGTCCGCGCCCCACCTCCACTTCACATCCTTCCGGGTGAGTCGCGTGAGCGGGGCGGCTAGCGCGGAGAAACCGGGGATGAACCGCCTGTATCACGACGCGAGCCCGAGGAACTGCCGCACCTTCCGTACGGTCGTGGGCGCCGGCCATTCCGATATCGCGCTCACTTTTTCTGGGTCGGTGCGGATACCCTCTCGGTCCACGATATGCCCCAGGTACCGCAGGCGGCCCACACAGAAACGGCACTTCTCCGTATTGAGGCGCAGTCGTGCTTCCCGGAGCCGCCGGAAGACCTCCCCGAGCCGCGTGATATGTTCCTCGAAGGTCCGGCTCACGATAATGATATCGTCTAGGTAGACGAGTACGTGGGGCTTGAGCTCAGGGCCGAGTATGCCATCCAGCAGCCGTTGGAACGTGGCGGGTGCGGAGTGCAGACCGAAGGGCATTACTCGAAACTGCATTAATCCTCGTCCCGGCACGGCAAACGCAGTCAAGGGGCGGCTCGCGGCCGACAGGGGAACCTGCCACCCGCTCCGCAGGTCCAGCGTGGACAGATATTTTGCCCCGCGGAGTTTGTCGAGGGTAGCGGCGACCTGCGGCAACGGGTAGGCATCAGGTTCCGAGACGCTATTCAGTTTTCGGAAATCCACACAAAATCTTCGCGACCCATCCTTTTTCCGCACCACCACCACCGGCGAGCTCCACGCGCTGTGAGAGGGCTCGATTATGCGCTCCTGCAGCATCTTCTCGACCTCCTCGTCGATTACTCGCTGCATAGCGGGGTTCCGGGGCCGATACCGCTGCTTAATGGGGCGTGGGTCGGTCAGTCGAATGTCGTGGTACGCCCAGTCCGTCGGTCCCTGCACTTTGTCGAAGAGGCGGAATTCCCGTTTCAGGAACCGTTCCAGTCGCGTGGTCTCGTCCGGGGTTCGTGGCGTTAGTCCGTCCTCGATCGTACAGATCGACGGTTCGGTCCGTGTCGCGTGCGTCGGTGGCGGTGGCAGGGTCACCTGTAGCTTGGCCCACAAGTCCATTCCAATCAGCATGGGGCTGCCGAGCTTTGGCAGGACTCGCAGGCCGTGTCTTACGTTTCTGTCCTCCGTTTGTACGTCTGTCGTCATGGTTCCGGTCGTCTGTACGAGTGTTCCGTCAGCTAGTCGTATCGCTTCGGCTCGCCTCGACTTCCGGATCGGGGCCCCTACTTGCTGGGCAATGTCGGGGCGTATAAACGACGCCTCCGACCCGGAGTCGAGGAGCGCGTTGACGTCACGTCCGTTCAGTCGTACGGTTATATGGGGCCGCGGTGTGAATCGGACGCGTTGGTTCCTCAGGGCCGAGACTCTGGGTGGCAGGTCTCGGCCCGTCGGTCGTTTCCCGGCCGCGGGTGGCACTCCCGGGTCAACACGCCGTCCTTTCCGCATTGCGAGCAGAATTTCTTCGGGGGGCGCTTACAGTCTACCCGAGTGTGCCCCCTTTGTTTGCACCGCCAGCAGCACTCGTCCTTGCTGTATGTGCTGGCGGTGGTCGGCGCGACGCGCGGTGGTCGAGGAGGTCGGTCCGCTGCAGGATCTCGCCGGCGGTCGCGTATCTGCCGCTCGATGTCTTCATGCTCTGCGGCCCGCGCACGGAGGTCCCCGATGCTCGTAACGTCGTCGATGCGAATGCCCCTCTTGTATTCTGGGTGCATATTTTCATATAGCAACTCGAGCTGCTCCTCGGGACTCCATCCCCCCGCGCGCCGCATGAGCGTTAACACGTCATTGGAGAACGCCCGGAAGGATTCTCCATCTTGTTGTACGCGGCCCCGTGCTTCGCGGCGGAGTTGCGATAGCATCTTGCGCGGGAGGTATTCCGCATGGAAGTCCCTTCGGAAATCCTCCCACGTTGCCCATGTGTGCCGGCTGAGACGGTACCACGCGAGGGCCTCGCCCCGCAGCATTTCCGGCAACCCCCGAAGGACGTGTTCCCCCGTATAGCCATAGACGTCACTGAGTTCTTCGACCCGTTCTAAAAATTCGTGAGGACTCCGTCCGTCGAAGAAACAACCCCATTTTCTAATTTGATTCATCGCCTTGGCTATCGGGGGCCCGGACCCCTCGGGGATTATGGACAGTTCGGGTGTCTCGTCGAGAACTTCCATTGTCCCTTCCTCGGCTTTTGCTGCGGGGGTCGCCGTCCCGTTGTCCTCCTTGAACACTTCCGGATGCCGTCGCACGAACTGACCGAGCCGCCTTCGCAATTCTTCGAATGTCCCGTCCGTGTGCAAATCGTGATGGGACAACTGCTCGGTCAGCTCCTGTTTTGACAATTTATGCACCCATGCCATCGCGCTCGGGCCCGTAATCCCTCTTGCCGCTTTTCTCCTCCTAAGGTCCTTTGTTCGGGCGCCAAATGTAACGGCCGAACTCCGCGGTTCGGTCGCTGCTACGCGTTTCGCGCGGATAAGGCTCGTCGGAGTCCGGGTTCGGTGAGGAGGAAAGCAGCGAGACGTTCGAGAGTAATATAAGTACGTTAGCTTTATTCTATACTTAATTTGATACAAGAGTTCGGCCCCGAAGGCGATGTCGCGGGTTGCGTTTGTAAGGCGCGTCGGTACGGTACGGTACGGTGCGGTGAGCGGTGCGAGCGCTCGTACAGACGGATAGGCCGTGCGGAAGGCGGGGCCTATTACGCAACGCGTGTAGGTCGTAACGACGGTAACGGCGCGGTGATCGGTCTCGCTTCGCGACGCCGGGCGTCTCGGACAATTATCGCCCAATACTCGCTTCGGAATTGCTCGCGTAAAAATGGTCGCCGGACCGGAGATTTCGATTCTCGGTCGAACGCACGCACGCGAGTCGCGGGAGACGCGAGATGATTTCGTCCGTCGGGGTCGAGGACTCTCGACAGAGAAGGCGTACGCACCTTCCCTTTTCCCTACGTGCGTGGAGGAAAGCGACCAAGTGCTGCGGACACTCAGCGGAGACGGCGAACACACCGTCCCGGGTTCCTGGTCGCTAGACGGATCGCCTAAAGGCTGAGTACGCTCAGCGGAGTTCGCCGACGGACGAACCCCTGACTCGAGGCGGCGGGTAAAGGCGAGAGACTGTCGAGTACGCTCGACTGAGCACGCGTACACACGGGCCCAGGAAGACGGGAGACGGCCAAGTATCGAGAACGCTCGATCGAGAC